CAAGAAGCTATTAGAAACAATAAGCTACTAGGAACAAGTGCATCGCTACTAGTAACAAGTGCCTTACTGGTAGTAACAAGAAGCTATTAGAAACAATAAGCTACTAGGAACAAGTGCATCGCTACTAGTAACAAGTGCCTTACTAGTAGTAACAAGAAGCTATTAGAAACAATAAGCTACTAGGAACAAGTGCATCGCTACTAAGCTACTAGTAACAAGTGCCTTACTAGTAGTATCAAGAAGCTATTAGAAACAATAAGCTACTAGGAACAAGTGCATCGCTACTAGTAACAAGTGCCTTACTAGTAGTAACAAGAAGCTATTAGAAACAATAAGCTACTAGGAACAAGTGCATCGCTACTAGTAACAAGTGCCTTCCAGGTTTCACCTCCCAGCCCCGCCCGCGGCGCTCCGCCACGCCCGGTCCGCCTGGTACGACGCGGTGATCGCCACCCGGGCGCCGGCGGCGTAGAAGTCCTCGTGCGCCTGGCGGATCACCTGGCGCCGGGACCGATGAGCGGTCCGCGCCGGGACGCGAATGGCAGCCTCAAGTCCAAGACTGTTTTTCCTCTAGCTGCACCTGTTTTCAGGATCGGATTATGTTTTCAGTAGGGGGTCATATGTTGAGATACAGCGTTGATGGGAAAAGAAAAACTAAAACTACTACTACTACTACTACTACTACTACTCCTGCTACTACTACTCCTCCTCCTACTCCTACTCCTACTCCTCCTCCTACTCCTACTCCGACTCCGACTCCCACTCCCACTCCCACTCCCACTCCCACTCCGACTCCGACTCCCACTCCGACTACTACTACTACTACTACTAGTTACTACTACTACTACTACTACTACTACTACTACTACTAAAAAAACACATGGCGTAGCTTTTGCTCCACGAGAAAAACCGTACTCACAACTCTCTGTAAGCCCTTCTTCTCACCCTCTCTTGTGGGACATTATTAATGAAAATTTTGCATTTCTTATTTTTGCCTTCATTAATTAAAGGTGAAGGAGCCCAGTGCCAAAAACTAAAAACAGCTTCTTATTTTGGCGGTGGTCTTTGTCTGGGGATCCCCCACGTGCCCTTTTTGGAAGCAAGGACACCTTAGGTTCATAGGCCCCAGATCCCAGAAGGGGCCCAAATATGACCAGGCGGATCGATTCGAGGGTTCAACCTTCATGTCGGTTCATCCCAGCTATAGCATTTAATTGTTAAGAATACAGTGTTTCTATTTGTACTTTTTCCTTATGCATTATTTGGTTTTCTAGAAAATATGGAAGACCAATAGTTAAATCATAAGGGACAAATCGTGTTTTTGGGGCCCTCTCACATGCAGGATGTCTTCCACTTCTTGCACGTCCGAGTGGCCGAAGGGTTCTTGATGAGACACAAGGCTGACCATAAAGAGTGGTCGATCTTCTCGCCAAGCCTTTCACCGCAAGTGTAGCTGTTGAACTGACACACTGTGTCAATAAGAGGATGAATGCATATGAACGCTTTTAAAGGTGTCATCCATCTTACACTAGTGAGGACCACCCTGTTTTGAAAAAAATTAAGTGTCCTTTCGCGGCTTGATGCGGCTGAACCAAGTCGACCCCGAAATGCTGAAGACATGTACCGGAAGACCCCGGAAGACTCCACGGGGGCATGGACCAGTCCAAACATCCTGTTGGTCGTGGTGAAACCACTGGACCAACAAGAAGGCCACAAAAATGACATCATCTATTTCACGGTTGGGTCCAGTGTTGTTTCCTTTATCCCCCAAGGCCCATGAATCCTTGGCTCATCGATCTGTGCCTCAGAATACCAGCCGGCAACGTCGACACCCTCTTAGCGCGCCCCAGCGCACGCACGGATCAAAGTGACCTGCAGAGACCCTTGAGACCCTCGTGACCTTCTTGTCCTGCCAATTCGGAACAGGTCAAAGGAGTTTTCGCATGGATCACCGAGTATGACTGCGGGTAGCTGCTAGCTATATTCTTCTAACAGCCCACAGCCAATTGGTGGCGATCGCTCGCCAGTCGCGCGTTTCGATTTGGGGGTGACACCTCGGTCACAACCACGTTTCGGGCACGAATTGCATTTCGACGGCGAAGACGAACGGCTCAATTGCCATGACACTCCTCGATGTGGGTAGCTAAACCACCTCAAAGGTGGAGAGAGCCACAGGAGAAAGCGATGCGAACGAGCCGGGGCGCCAGGCCCGTCATCTCCGACCGACACTCCAAGGTGGTGGACCTGCCTTTGGGACTCCCCCTTCATCTTGAGCGACGGCTACGGCTATGGCAATCGGTCCCATTCAAACGGGTCAAATGGGTCAAACGACCAGATCACCTGTCGACCATGTTTCAGTTAGTATTCGGAAAAGGGTCAAAAGCACCGGTCAATTCTCAGGTTAGTGAACGTGGGAGGGGAGGAATCATTGCATTTGCTCACCTAAATTTGGTGCCCCAAAAACACCTCTGCCTTGGAGGTTTCCAAGGAAAGCTCTCTGTGTGGCTGCGGATGTCAAAGAGTTTGCTGGCGGGTGGTGGCCGGCTGGGCGGGGGGGCTCTGGCACCAATTCGGCCGCCCAGGCATTTGTTGGTTGAGCTCCAAAGGTCTCAACGGACTCAAGAGAAGAAACCCGTCGTCGGCGCGAACTGGCTGGCATCTGCCAAGAACGAACATACCAGTTACCAGTACCTTACCCACCTTGAATCCACCAAGCATTCCTAGACGAGATTCGCGATCTAGTATCTTCATGTTGCCAAACCTCCCCGACCCCTGCCAACACCCTATATCACCCCACCTGTCCCGCACCAAGGATCCATCTAGGAGGAGAACCTGGTCCTCTCCGCGCGCGTCCCTCAACGGGTCGCGCGGGTCCGGAGAGCGCGTCGGCTCCGACTCGTGCTTCCGCTTCGACATGGCGGACTCGTGCGGAGAGAGGGTGGATGACGGTGGCGTTTTGGCAGCTTCAGGTGGGCTTCAGTCATCCACTCAAAGCAATGTCCAAAGAAAGGATGTTTCCAAATGTTTCCTGATCTATGTCCTGATGGTGAGGCTTTGCATGTATCTTTTATCCAGATGTGGAGTGAGTGGTGGCAAACTGTCACATTTGGGTGATGCGTCTCCATGCTTATCCGGACGCGGAAACAAGAGATTGCTGGTAACGCAAGTTGTGCTGGGAATGAGTTGACTGTCTCAAGTCATGACTCGCCATGTGAATCGCATTGTTCAATCGACTCAACTAGCCCGCTTCAAAAAGTACAAGAGGCATTCTCCCTGGCTCCTTTGTCCGAGCACTTGTATCAATCTACACCATGAGGCTCTAAGCCAGAACAGCTGTAAAGCGCAGCAATGTCCTGGCCCCGCAGCCACAGTCTCCACTGAAGGCCCTTGTGAGAGGTCTTTTTCCGAACTTTCCTGCTTCACGATTTACAAACTCATGATGTACCCCCGATCCGAGGTCTAATAGGACTCTGCTCTCACGGTTTCACCAGTAGATTGAAGCAAGAGGTCTATGAGTGCGAGTCATGCCCCACGATGCAGCGTCGTGTCATTTCCTGGTGCTCCTGATTCCAGCCTACACCCTGCGTCTACACGTCTACACCGCAGAAATGGTTTGGTCATCGGCTCGGATTTGGAAGCATGGTAGGTGTCTAACGGTGATATTCATCAGCGTAGCCCAAAGGAGTGATTTGACGCGAGTTGAGACTAGCTGAAAGCCTCAGAGCGAAACTCAGGACATCAATCTTTGGTAATTGTTCGTGTCCATGATAACTTCAGGGATGCCAGTTAAGTTTCAGTATTGTCATCCAAAACAAACAGCAGATCAACCTCAACAATTGCCTTCACTCTCACAGCTTCCTGGGTCTCAACTCAACCTGACACAAAAACAACGGCAACAACAACAAACAAGAAGGAGGAGGAGGAGGAGCAGAAGAAGAAGCCGGACAACCTCTAGTGAGTTTCGGGAACATGCGCGTCCACCAAAACCCGCGCCCGCACAGCCTTGAAGCCGGGCCCCCTCGGCCCCTTTGGCCGCGGAGCATTCGACCCGGACCCGTCGGCACCTCCGTCCCGCGGGCGGGCCACTGGGTTGCGCCTCAGGTGGCGGGATCATGTGACCAGCCAGGTTAGGTGGGTTGCGACCGGGTCAAGTGATTTCAGGTCAAGATGTTTGTGCGCCAAAAGTGAATGCGTGTCTTTCTTGATCTTCAGGGCCCCGGAAAGAAGTTGAAACACTTCTTTGGGATGTTAGGGTGGATTCCAGGTAGATCTTGTTCCTCAGGCTCCCTCACCTCCTCTCCTTCCACATCATTGTTCGATCTGTCTTTGTATCGTGGGAACTCTGTATCAGCTGGTTTAGGTATGTAGCGCAGAGCCGATTGCTTGGCTTAAAGGTCACGCTCCAGGACTATCATTGGGTGTCTTTTTTCTTCCGGGGACCGCGGAAAAAAATCGACGGTTTGGATGCTCGACTGGCGTTTGGGACCCAGTGCGACCTCTCTTTTCGTTTCAAGAAGGTCGCCGAAGTCGCCGAAGTCCCGAAGTTGGTTGTGGCATGTTGGCATGTTGTGGCTGTGGAATTGACTGGGAATCCCCTTGGATAATAAATTCGTTCAGTTGCTGAGCTGCCGGCATCACTCATTCCAAACAAAATGTTTCCAGCTACAACCGCGTGGCGCTTCTCAGGGATTCGTGGGACGCTTGGAACCGCCCGGGGGGGAGAAGGGCTTCCATCGCCTCCGTTTCACCGTCCAAGGCTCAAAGAGGTTACCACCGCCGGGAGCGGCCTCAGAGGGCGGAAAGAGGGCGGAAAGGGGTGGTCTTGTGATGATGGGCGGGGGGATCTACTAGATCGTCCTTTTTACATTCGATCCATGGCCGCAGGACGTGTACAAAAACGGATCTACAGTTTCTGAAATTTGAGAAGAACAAAAGGGTGATGAACATGCGAAGGAGTCTTCTGTTCACTTTCTGGCTGGAACAGCCGGGATCTTGACTTGGGTTTGGATACTAAATCGTGTGGGGGCTGACCATGGTTGACCCATACGGACAGTCGACACGGCTGGTTTCTCCTGCAATCCACTTGGAATGTGGCTGGAAGCACCTGGTGAGAGTCGGGCCCGCAAAGAGCTTGGACAAGTCCGATGGTCCGTTGGCGCAGGTGTCTTTACGATAAAGCACATGCAGTTCTCTCATTCCTCTGACCAAAGCATGGAGAACCTTCAGAGAACCGCATGGAGAACCCTTCCCCTGGCTTAGGAAGATTCGAAGATTCGAGCCCCTGTGGGTCGATCAAGCTCAAGCTTGATCTTCCCGGACCAGGACTGCATTGACCGATGGCGGGGGGACTCATCAACATCAACCTCATTGGGACTCCGATCGGAACCTGGCCGCAAAGAGGGAGAAGAATCGAGAAGAACCCCACCGATCAGGGCTCGAAGCCGCAGAGCCCAAAACCGTCCGACCCAGTCTCTCACTTCCTACCTCCAACTCTTGAGAGAACCAACCGTCCAACCCTCAAGTACTAAGTCGTGGGAGGTCCTCCAGTCCTTCAGTCCCTGCTGGTTCTCCAATGACCCCCGTCCTGTGGAGAACCAAAGGCTCCTCCAGCTCCTGCAGCCACTCTCCAGCCGTTCGAGTCGACTCGAGGACTGAAGGACCCGTGTCTCTCCGAGTGAATTCCTGATGTACGACAGGATCCCGACAGTGACAGTCAGGTCAATGATATAAGGATTCCGAAGAGGGAAAAAAAGGTAATCACCGCAGCCTCCAGAGTTACATCATTCGGGATCCCAGGGCATGATAGTTCGAGGTTCGTTCTCGGACGCACAAAACATGGGGATGCGAAAACATGCTCTCCACACATATCATCTGATTCCAAATCACCAAAAAAAACGGACAAGGTGAAAGCATCGCCCACTGGAGCCCTCTGAAACGGTCCCGAGATGTTTGCTCCCGCAAGCAACAAGCAGTTGTTAAGCACGACAGTAGTGGACAATACATGAAGAACTAGACTAGAGCATTGTAAGTGGGACTTTTATTAGACCATCCAGGTATGATGTGTAGACCCTCAAGCCTCAGAAACAAACTCAAGAAACCATAAGAAACCGGTGTCCTGGCACTGGGCCGAAGCCACCAAAGGCAGCGCCACCGCCACCCGCCTCAGCAATCTGGCTGCTGCGCGTGTTGTAAACAGGTCCTTGGTAGACCTGGATCCATGTGGGACAAATGGGAGAACCATGGAAAGCAACGGAAAACCATTGAAAACTCTCCAACCACCGGTTCCGGCCGAGTCGTCGGGCCTTCTCCAAGCCGGTCCGAACATGGCACCAACGGACATCGACGACTCGACGACCAAACCCATGGACGACCAAACCGGGTCAACCGATCCTATGGGCCCTTGGAATTCAGTGGCTTGTGGCCAACGGCCACATGGGTTTTGGTCCACGTTGCACATGGAGACGACCAAGACCTTTGATGATGGCAAGATCAGCTTTAAAGAGATGCAAACGGTTTGCCCATGCAAACGGTAAACGAAGTAGAGATTGCAAACCCCAGTTCGATTTCGATGTCCAGTTCCGGAACGCTCAGAAACGGAGATGCTGTCCTCCTGGCCGAGGTTTCGTTTCACACGGTTCGTGTCACCCGCCCTGAGTCCGACACAGGTTGCCCAAAGCCTGTCGGCGGTGGTTTCAACGTCTTTTGGGGCGTTCGACTAAGAAGGAGAGGTTGGCCTGGTCACCTGCACGAAACAAGGTGTTTACCAAGTGCTGTCGGCCATTTTGAGCATTCAATGTTGCTGCTCCTTGTTCCCAGTGCACAGCACGAGCATCTCGTTTCACTCTGGGGGTGAGGTCGCCAGTCCCATTTGGCCGTCCCATTTGCGGGGAAGTTGTTGGAGGTCTTGGATGGACGATGGTGGCCGATGGACGTTGTGAAATCGGACACAAATGACTTGACAGTGTTGCTTGGTTTAGTTATACAGCGGCAGCGCGCCACGCTTCGGTGTGCCATGTCCGTCGCCGTACCATAGGGAGATATTGCGTTTCCAGGAATGATGTTACTAGTAGCGTTCTTGCTCCTAGTAGTAAGGCCAGGAGCCCCTAGTAGCGATGCCCTTTGCTCCTAGTAGCGTTCTTGTTACAAAAGTTTGTATGTTTTGGAGGTGTTGAATGTCCATGTGCCATTGAGACGTGCCATTGAAGGGTTTGCTTCGAAGCTATGCGTTCGTGACGCAGCTAAGCTAAAGCTGCGATCTTGAGTGATGTTGGTGAAGCAGCAAAGTGCTGCATAGAGTGTCGAAATCATTCGAAATGTGTGGTGTGGTGCAAACGTTCTTAGAGACACGATGGTGTGGCATGGCCTAGCCAACGCGCACCTTGGCAAGGCTGCGTCATGTGTGAGCTCTTGAGGCTGACAAGGATCTTGGAAGAAGTCTTGTATGAACACTTTCGGGGACTTCCAGTTCTCACTTCTGGAGGGATCTCTCACTTCTGGCGCGGAGACCTTGGACGCGAAAATCGGCGCTGCGTCCGGACACCCGGACGATTCCTTTCGGGCCAACTAGATGGCCAACAGGCTCAGTGACAAGCTGCTGCAGTGCAAACAGGTTAGCACGGCGTAAACTGGGCTTATTTTGACTGTTGCTTTTGCAAAAACCTTTTGTATTTGAGGGCCGGGCTGTGAGATAGACCGCCACAATTCCAAAGCGGCAATTGAATAAAAACATGAATGTACTAACGAGCTAGTTTAAAAGAATGTGCTGTGTGAACGTGCCAATGGGAAAATGTGATTCTCCCACGAAGACCCCGAACCAAATATTGGCAAATGGCTCTGTTTGGAGACTTCCCGCATTTCTCCCGCCAGTGACCGGTTCCCGGGGAAAAACCCACTCGCTGGTCCCTAGCCCGAGACCTGCGCGACCGCTCGTCTCTCGACACGCCACGGCCTCCCGCACCGAAGCCACCCGCTTGAGGAGGAGAGCCTGGCTGGGAGGAGGACAAGGGGAGCCCGGTGGAGCACCGGCCGGGAGGAAATGGAGAAAGTGGATGGTGTCCGGTCAGTGGGATGGTTTCTGGTCTGACCGCCAGATGTTTGGCAAGTATCTGGCTTGCTTGGTTTGGTGTGACGAAAGTGGGCTTGAGTTGCAGTGTTTCACTTCGGCTTCGTTCGCTTCGAACGAGGGTTTGTGGAGATCGATGCTATCCAATAAGGGTCTGTCTACCCTCTCCGGCTGCGGTTTTCCAGATCGAATCCGTTTGGTTGGCTGCAGTTGGCTTGTGCAAATCGTGCGCTCCCGGAGTTCTCACTCCGAACATGAACTGAACTGTTCTCATATTTAGACTCTTCAACTGTGTCCTACTCAAGACTCTTGCCTCCGTCCACCTTTTTGAAGAACCACAGAACCGCCTTCTGTGGTTCTTCTTTGACCCATCATCTACCAGTCAGGTTTTTGCTGCACACCTCCGCATTCACCGGCGAACACTCCCCCTACGCTCACTCGAGCCGACCCTTCAAACACCACGGGAGCTTGACCATTTCCAAACATGCACGAGTCGCAGTGCCCTGTGTTGTTTACTTGAAGGGTTCACGTGATTGTCTTTAAGGGGTGTAAAGTTGACCCTGGTTTCTGGACCCAGTGAGATCTTTGCTTGGATATGACTCCAACAGCAGCCAAAAAAGAACTTGCTATAGATCTTCAACTTGTTGTTTTACTCCAGACTACGGCAAGTCCCTCCCATCTTCCCATCTTCCTGATGTTAATAGCTCCCCAATCGAAAAACGCGTAGAAAACCCGGGCTCCGGACCACCAAAGGCTCCACCCGCTTGACCCCCAAAGCCTGCGGTCGTTCGGCCAGTTCGTCCGATGTCCGTCTCGAGACCCGAGGCCAACGGTCCAACGGCTGGTGATGTGAGGCCAACGGTCGATCCTGGGGGCCGCCAGGACTGTCCTGTCCTGTTAAGACGTTGCCGGACTTGGTGAGAGTCAAAGTGAAAAGACACCGATCCAGGACTGGGGAACCAATTTCACCTGAGATCCCTGATTTCTGGAAGCTGTTGATGTTCCAAACAGCAAGGTTGGTCATGAACATATGCATATGTATGTGGCCATAATATGAAGTATGAGCCAGGATGTTCAAGGAGTACTTTGCCCTTCCACCCACGCGTTGCTTCCAAACAAATTCGCTGCGAGCTTCCGTTTCCAATCCCATCGGACATTTCCGTGTCGTTTGCAATCTTTGGAGCAACCTAAGGAAGCTTCTGGACCAAAATAAGCCATGAACGATCCGAGCGGTCAAACCCAAGAACGACCCTCCTTTTCATTTAGGCAGCACCAGCTTGGTAGGTTAGAGTTTGAGAAAAATAGCCCACCGTCCCGTTGATTGCAGGTGTTTTTTCCATGTTGAGACGCATCATGTCTCTTATTGAAAGGACCCAAGCCTGTTGGTTGAGTTTGCTGTGTTGGGTTCAGCCCCCCAAGTCAATTGCCTAGACCAGCAACTGCTCTCCAACTGATCTGTAATAAGGATCTATCAACATCAGCTTGGATGACAAGAAGTCTCACAAAACTTCAAAGCCGTAGGGTTGGGTTCCGATCAAGGCGGCACCTCCTCCGGGAGCTCCAAACAAGCCACCCCCTGGGCCGTGTGAGGACACCGTTGGTCTCACTCTGCGTGTCAGATCCCAACGTTTGCATTGGACAAGGACAGATATGTGTTTCCACCTAATCAACATGCCTGGAGCCTGGAAGGAAAAAGAATGACCTTGCCTTGAAAGACCGCACCCTTCCAAGGATCCTTTTTATATACCTACTTGCGAGCTGGGAAAGGCGTGACTTGACAGTGACAGTCTTAACAAACTGGCGAGCTCAACAAACTCAACGCAAAATCTATATATATATATCTCTCTCTCCCTCCCTCCCTCCCTCCCTCCCTCCTTGTGGTTGGGTCTGCATCTGGCTGGGCTGTGGCGTCGACTGCGCTGGCTGCCCGAACATGAACATGCTGCCACCTCAGACACTCATGGCAACAGGCGGCTAGTTTGCAGTGACAACAGGCATGCAAATGGCACAAAAACCAGCCGCGAGTGCTCGAGAGGCCTTGGAAGTAATGCCAACTTGGCGGAGCATAGATTGCAAGGTCTGGGGCTGACCATATCTGGGCACGAAGAATGGCTTGTCTTGAACTGACCCTCGATTGAAGTCCGAGCAGTACATGTGTGTCCAAGTGTCCAACCCCTGTACACAACCTGGTGTCCAAACGCCCCGTGGAGTGCCTGCAATGGGCAGGAAAAACCTCACAGTCTTCCAAGTTTGATAGTCTTGGTGAGTGCTCGAAAGGTATACGTCTACCTTTTTCCCTTGGGAACCACGTCGATGAAATAATTGAAATCCTCATGTCCAACACAAGCATACAAAGGTCATTTGGCTGAGCATCACATATATAATATACAAATGTACAACTGTTCCATTTCAAACTACCCAACCCATCCCAATAACCTCCAACACCGACCCTTCCCTACCGTCAACGCCAGGCCACCGCTGGGCGCAGCACCGCCCGCTGCGGGCGCTGCAGGACTCGCTCCAAAGGCACCTGGACCGACAAGGCCGGAGTCGCTCGGGTCCACCGAAGAGGGGAGGTGGCAATGGAGACTCTTGAACGATAACCCCCCCATACTATGAAGTGGTGTTTTAATTCAAGTGGGGTAGGCTTATTGATCAAGAGTCTACAGTCTACATTTCGTGATTGACCTCAACCGTGAGGCCTGGCACCCCTGTTGATCCTGTTGCCGATCGACCCATCACCCCCCCCCCCACCCCCCCACCCACCCCACCAGCAAACACCTCGACTCTGAACGACCCATGGAAACCGCTGGGTCCCTCAGGATCTTGAAGGAAATTCAACAAAAACCGTTTCTCCATGAAACCTCTTAGCCGTTCGGAACGACGGACCTTCGATTCGCGCTTCGCACCGGTGGTCCTGGCCGTCAAGGGAGTCGGGATTGACCCTCATGAGGTCCCCGGTCCCAAAGGAAAGGGGGGATGACGACCAACCGGGGGATTGACCTATCAATTGCATCCAAGTTGCTTTTGACATCTTTTGACTATAGTACCTTTGTTGGTTCCTTTTTTTTTGCTATGTCACAGGAGACACCGAACGGAACTTCCAAATCTGCTCGTGCGTTTCTCTTTTGCCAAGACTTCAAAGGCCGTCAACAAAACAGGGATCCTTACCACCTGGTTGGAAGCTCCTGTTACAAAGGTCCCCCGCCTGATTTCTGAAAGTCTTCTCTCAGATTTCAGACTTGGGCAACCAAAAAAATATGTTGAGGATACCTTAATTAAGAGATCTGGGGGAGAGTTAGGAATAGAATGATGCATGAAGATACTTGACCAGGCAACAAGCGAACCTGTTGCACCGAACCTGAAGATTGAGGCGTCCCGAACTGGAACATGCTGCCTGGGCATGGCGCCAATTAAGGTGGACTGGATTAGGGTACTGCAATGTGCTGTGACATACGGTTGGTTGCCAAAACTGCCGGTACATTCAATGATCCCCCACTAGGCACAGCACCTGCAAAGGGGTGCTGTTCCAAGTGTTTTCAACCAAACATGCCCGCCTCCTGCAGGAGGTCCACCGAAGGTGCTAGGCGAACTGCCAGAACCAAAAAGATTGCCACCCGAATTTCCTCCAAACATGCTGGAGCTGCTTTGATTCGGGTTTCCTCCAAAAATGTTGCCGCTCCCCGAGCTTGGTGCTGCTCCAAAGATGTTGGAACTGCCACTGCCTGAGCTTGGTGCTGCTCCAAAGATATTGGAACTGCCGCTGCCCGAGCTTGGTGCTGCTCCAAAGATGTTGGAACTGCCGCTGCCTGAGCTTGCTGCTGCTCCAAAGATGTTGGAACTGCCGCTGCCCGAGCTTGGTGCTCCAAACATGTTGGAACTACCGCTGCCCGAGCTTGGTGCTGCTCCAAAGATGTTGGAACTGCCACT